TTTCTTATTCTTTTCTCTTTAATCAGTTGATGTTTAATAAATTGTATTTGCTTTGAACCTTATCAAGTGGTCGCTGGGCCAAGAAGGCCTGCAGTGTAAAGAGAGCACCTCGGAGTGGGGACACCCTAACTCCTGCCCCTACTGACTACAAGGTCAGGGATTAAGCCCCAGGAAACCTGGGCCCAGCCTTGTTGGGGTTTCAAGGGCTCTGCTACTCAGGAGAGTGGAGGGGGAGCCCTCAGGATCAGGGAGCCGTGGGGTAAAGGAAGTGGGAGCGGGGAATCAGATCCTTTCACTGGTTCATTTCACCGGGGTGTATAGAAGTCAGGAAAGTTCCCCACAATAGCGGGATCATTCCCCCGCTTACACAAGTAATGGCGGCTCTTCCTGCTGTAGGATTTTCTTGGTTATCTGTACAGCTTTCTCAGCCTTTCCATTCACTTGTGGGTAACATGGGCCGCTAGTGAGATGATCAAAACCATATTTTGTTTGGATTCACTTAAATTCTGCTGCAGTGAATGGTCACTGTCCATTGTCTGTCACTAATTGTCCCAGAATACTAAAGTGAGCAAAAGTGCTTTCAAGTACATGATTTGGGGGGGGGGGAGGGAAATAGCCCAGTGCAACCAGGTAATGATGTCATCTGACTTTGCATAGATCTGCAACTAGTTCTTTCGAGGTTTCTCTGCTAACAGTGTTTGTAAACTGCATGGTTCGATATTATCTGAAGTTGATTTGATGTCCTTTCAAAAGTCCAATATCATCCAATCCTCCTTCAGGTTCTTCCACATTTTGCACTAGGCCCATCATGGCTACCACATTGCAGTGACAAAAGGTTGTTGGTCTTTGATCTTTTGGTCAAATGCACTTTGACTGCATAGCTATTATGGACGTAGGTTACTTTTGTAATGAACTGGACCATACAGTTCAGAATGCCTTCCGAGATCTGTGACTTTAGCTCTGGGAGGGGTTGAAGGTGATTATAAGTTTCTTCTGAGATAACTGTGACATCAGCGCCTGAGCTAGTTTTAAAGACAACAGTCTTGCCACGAATATTAAATTTCACTTTACATGCAAGCTGTATGTCATCACAAGTGATAGATCACAGAAACAATGGCCATTGTTTGTAATATGAGTCAATTCCCAGACTGTTTTGGTGTGGCAAACCACTGAAATATATCCATATTTCGTGCATATATTACACTATGTGCTTCTGTCTGGATATGCATCATCTCTTGGGATATGACTTTTTCCACATCTTATTTTTGTAGGTTGGAATTTGTCCCTCCTAACTTAGTTCAATCTCCTTGTATCAAGGGCTTTATGGTAATGGCTTTAAACACTCAAGTGTTTGAGATCTTGAAACTAGCTTAGAAACTGTAAACAATTTTCTTTCTGTTTTGCTATTTCAATAGCCGAGGCTAGGGTAAAAGCTGTCTTTAACTGTAGCTGCTATGAAAGGTTGTTGTTTTTCTCTCTTAACCCAATAGCTAGCCTCTCTCTGATACATTCATATCTTGCATTCCCAAAATCACAGTCTTCATCCAATGTATGCAGAGTTCTTATAAACCATTTAACATTTTCCCCTGGTTCATGAAAACATGCTACTTCATAAACCACATTTCTCTGTAGTATAAAGCGTGAATCAAACAGCCATAATCCTTTCACTGTCATCTTTATGACTGTCTTTATTAAAGTAAAAAAATGTAAAGCTATGTTCTACCAACTTCCCTAAAGCATAAATGTGATACCTGCATATCCCCCATTTCTTTGTGCAGCTTGATAACAATATGAAATCTTGCAAAATATTTCCAGTCTGCTTGTCAAGCTGAAATTCTCTGGGGGGCACTGAAGAGTGGCATGTTGAGAGATCTTGCAACCTTTCTTGTGCTGTGCCTTCTGTTTGCAACGTTGTTGCTGGTTCTTCTGTTTCTGCTTTAGTTTACTCCTAACACCTTGTCACATTCCTGTACCAGATACGGACTGGGTACATAGCTTGTTTATACACAGAACTGGTGTTCATCATAAGATCCTTTCAATACTGTGTCAGGTATGGCTGAGGTTAGCTTAAATAAGGTATTTTCATGCAGCACCACCTAGTGACTAGTGATAGAAATGTAGCCATGTTAGTCTGGTGTAGCTGAAACAAAATACAGGACTATGTAGCACTTCAAAGACTAACAAGATGGTTTATTAGATGATGAGCTTTCGTGGGCCAGACCCACTTCCTCAGATCAAATAGTGGAAGAAAATAGTCACAACCATATATACCAAAGGATACAATTAAAAAAAAAGTGAACACATATGAAAAGGACAAATCACATTTCAGAACAGAAGGGGAATGCAGGAAATGTCTGTGAGCTAATGATATTAGAGGTGATAATTGGGGAAGCTATCTTTGTAATGAGTAAGATAACTAGATTGTTTGTTGAGACCGAGGAGTAAAGTGTCGAATTTTAGCATGATGACAGTTCAGAGGATTCCCTTTCACGTGCAGATTTAAAAGGCTTCTGAAGCAGGATGCAGGTAATTAAGTCATTGAGACAGTGTCCTTTCTGGTTGAAATGGCAAGAAACAGTTTTTTCTTTGTGAGCCTGTCTAATATCTGTTTTGTGGGCATTGATCCTTTGGCGAAGTGTCTGAGACGTTTATCCAATGTACAAAGTAGACAGACACTTTTGGCACATGATAGCATAAATTATATTTCTGGATGCGCAGGAATATGTATTCTTGATCTTATAACTCACTTGGTTAGGTCTAATACTGGTATCAGCAGAGTGAATACGTGAACAAAGCTGGCAACGGGGTTTGTTGCAAGGGAAGGTACCAGGGTTGGTATTAGTGTGGTATGTCCTGTGGTTGTTGGTAAGAATCATCTTGAGGTTAGGTGGTTGTCTATAGGAGACTATGAGTCTGTCTCCCAGAGTCACCTAGGGTATGTCTACACTACCCTCCTAGTTCGAACTAGGAGGGTAATGTAGGCATACCGCACTTGCAAAGGAAGCCCGGGATTTGAATTTCCCGGGCTTCATTTGTATAAGCGGGGAGCCGCCATTTTTAAAACCCCTCTGGTTCGAACCCCGTGCAGCGCGGCTACACGGGGCACAAACTAGGTAGTTCGAACTAGGCTTCCTAGTTCGAATTACCGTTACTCCTCATTTCACGAGGAGTAACGGTAGTTTGTGTAGACATACCCCTAGTGACTGTTACAGTATAACACTCCATTACTACCTGTGATCTTAAGTAAGCCCTGAAGTCTCTGACTCATTTTTTCCATTTCCAAATGAGGTTAATCCTTTCCTATTGCAAATGGGTGATTTGAGATTGTTTATTAAATATTTACAAAGCAGCTTAAAAACTGAAAGCATTACACACTTATATTCTCACTCATATTGTATGAAATTTGTATTTCATATCCTGAGTAACACTGGAATGATACATTATCCTCCCCACTGGAATGTACAATTAGAAGAGGCTTCAGTCTAGGTTTTAATGGCCTTTGTATTTTTATTGTAATACAATTTTTGTGTTTTTTAATTGATAATACAAACAAGATGTTGCCACTCTAGATGCCTAAAACACTATAAACAATGAGAGAATTTTTATGAAAAAGGAGTTACTGAACAGTCACATTAGCCACTGTTCTTAGCTAATCATTTTAAATGAAAACTACCAATGTTAGGACGTCCTAGTGAACTGTAGGGTCAAATAGTCTGAAAAAAATAGACAAAACAATTTTAGTTAAGAACTGTACCAATGATCTTAAATATATTTTTATTAACACAGAAACTTTATAAACATCTTTAAAATGATTATTTTCTTACTCAGCACACTGTGTGGGTAGGAACACTGTATATTTGATAAAAAATAATTTCCCTGGTCTTCTTTCATGAATTAGCTCAAAGGGTCTGGTACTGAGGAACAACTCCCTAGCAGTTTTGGGAATAAAAGGCAACTAGATCAGTTATTGTGTGTTCTATATTGTTTTATTGCACAACAGGTCTTTGGTGGATTCCTTGTAAACCTGAACTCCATGCTGAATTGGCTGTCCTGGATCAAGTGGATCAGCATCTTCCATTATGGAATGAATGTGAGTCACGCACCTTACAGGGAAGATTTGGCAAAGTGAAAAAAAACAGCAGGTTCAAAAGCAAAGTGAACTTCATCCTCAAATTACACAAAATCCCTCAAACCTGTTTGCCATCTCTCTTCTCATGTCTCATATAGTTCACAAGCTCTTAGCCAAAGACAGAATAGAACAGTGTTTCTTAAACTTTTTAAGACTGAGGAATGCCAAACAAGAATTTTTTTTTATGGGGAAAACCAAGGATTTTTTTGTTGAGCAAAAAACCCACAAAAAACCAACAGCAGCCCCCAGGGAAAACTTGTGGAGCAAAACAAACAAAAAAAACAACCACTGGACCAGAGGGAGGGTAGATGAGGATCTTGGGGCAGGGTGCCTGGCTAGGAGGGAAGGTAGAGGAGGGGACTTGGGGTCTTGGCGGGGGGAGGGGGGTGAGGGGGGTTTGGGTGTGGGGTCTGGGCACGAGGGGGGATGCTTACCTGGCTTGGCACCCTGCTGCAGCAGGGACAGCCTCCAGGGAGCATGCTCTTGTTCCTGGGGGGACAGGGGTGGAGAGCTCAGTCCCCCCCCCCCAGCTGCCCATGCAGTGGGGAACCCAGCGCAGCTGCAGCACCAGGCAGGCCAGGCTTCCTGCTGGTGGGGAGTAGAAACCCCGACCATCCCTGCCAGATTAAACTCTGTCACTTCCCCAGCAGGCTGGGGAGGGGCAGGGGGAGAGAGAGCAGCAGTCAGTGGCAGCCCGTCAATACAGGCAACCTAGGTGGTCACCTAGGGCACCAAGAAAAACGGCCGTTGAGGGCTTTGGAGGCAGGGGCACCCATCACGCGCTGATCACACATTTGGCCTAGAGCGCCAGTTGCCGGCAGCTCATCTAGGGCTGCTCCAGGCAGCAGTGCATAGGGGGCAGCAGAGCCCAAGTGTGCCCCAAGGTGGGGAGGCAGCAGAGCCTGAGTGCACCCCAGGTGGGGGAGAGGGGGCAAGGAGAGCAGCAGTGCATAGGGGGCAGCAGAGCCCAAGTGTGCCCCAAGGTGGGGAGGCAGCAGAGCCTGAGTGCACCCCAGGTGGGGGAGAGGGGGCAAGGAGAGAGGCAGAGCCTGAGCCGGGTTCCCCAAAGGCAACAGTTTTAAAACACCGAGGTCCAGGAGTGGCTCCTCAGCTCTGGCCACCCCTCCCCCTCTCAGCAGCAGCGGCTGCTGTAAAAGCTGCCACCTGCACATGTGGAGGAGGAGGAGGCTGCACAGCGGAACTTTCTATGGGCTCTGCAGGGGGTGGAGGATCAGAATTTGTTCTGTTCTCTCTGTGGCACACCTCTGATTGGCTCACACACTGGTGTGCCATGGAACAGAGTCTAAGAAATGCTGGGATAGAATCATCTAATACAACCAATACAATCTAATGGAAGAATGATCTAATCTATGTTGCTCACCTGTCTTCTGAACAGGTCCTAGAACAGGGGTGGGCAAAAGGGCCTCTGCGGGCTGAATCTGGCCCACCAAGCGGGTTGATGTGGCCCGTGGAGGCCTGATGCTTCTCCACCCCCAGGCCAATTAGGGCCTGAGGGCAGGGGAGCGCATGAAATTTCTTCATGCACTGCGAGGAGCACACAGCACTTCGAAGAGCCACGCGCTCCTTGCAGGGTGGGAGGAGACGTCACATGCTCCCCACCCCGAAGCCCTGATATTGGCCTGGGGACGGGGGAGCTGTGCTAAGGTTCCTCCACCCTACGAGGAGCGCACAGCACTTCCAAGTGCCATAAGCTCACACAGGGCGGGGGCAGGGAGAAGGAAGCTTCACGCAGTTCCCCCGCCCCAGGCCCTGGTTGGCCTGGGGGCAGGGGGAGTGCGCAAAGCCTCTTCCCACCCTGAGAGGAGCACATGGCACTTTGAAGTGCCGTGTGCTTATCGCACAGTGAGAGGAGGCTTCGCGCTCCCCCCATCCCCAGGCCAATCAGGGCCTGGGGGTGGGAAAACTGCATGAAGCTTCCTTTGACCTGCCCCGGCCCTGTGAGGAGTGCGCAGCACTTCAAAGTGCCCTGTGCACCTTGCAGGGCAAGAGGCGGCTTCCCGCACTCCCCAGCCTCCAGGCCCTGATTGGTCTGGGGGTCAGGGGAGCATGGAAAGCCTCTTCCCACACTGCCAGGGGCATGGGTGCCTAGTAGGAAGGGGGGGCAAAGGGGCTTCTCCACCCCCAGACCAATCATGGGCTGGCGGTGGGGTAGCCCAGAAGTAGCCTGGCCCCACCCCTTCTGGTTTAGGTCCCACCCCTTCCGGGTAGCCAGGGCTTCTTCAAAAAAATTTTAAGTGGCCCCTGGCCCAAAATTATTGCCCACCCCTGTCCTAGAAGCTCACCTCTGTCCAACCAAGAAAGTGCAGACTGTCTGCTGTGTGTGTATAACTAGCAACACCTGTAAGTCTGCATTTCTGTCTTTCACTTTGTAAACTTGATACTATGCTTTGTCACAGACAATGGAACTTGTCAGAAGTGAAGAAAACAATAAGCACAAATGCACACTCCCCATCTATGCCACAACACAAACTTTCCTGTATTCTTTTAATAAAACAGTTGATAAGAAGTCTGTCCTACACATAATTAGAAACTATAGCACCATCTACTGGCACCATCCAATACTGACCCAGTAAAACAAATCAAGATCTTCTTTTCAATGAAGGTTGATTACATTCATGCTTCTGGGGCTAAGAATAAATATCTCTATATATGTTTACAATGAGATTTGCAAGACAAAAGGCCTATAGCTAAATGTTTGTCCTCCCCCCCCCCCCCCCCTTTCTGCTAGTGTGTGTGTTTGGGCTTTACTTTTATGAGGGTCTGATTCCCTCCTTCTTCTCTGTCCTGTCCCATCTCCACTTTAAACATCCTGTCACCACGGAGTCTCTCCAATGCTAGTGAAAGGCACAATAGTCCCAGATGCTTTTCTAGCTTGGAATTCCCCATGAAAGAGAGGGGACTATGTTTTAAAAGCCACAGGGCAGATTCATTTGATATTTAGTCCATAATTAATCATCCCTGAGTCTCATAATCCATGAGTCATGAACAGGGTCATGAACAGGTGTCAGGGCACCATGGTCACATTGCACTTCCCAAGCTGTTGAACAGAGGGTGGTTCCAATACAGAACAGGTTGAGAACCACTGCCAAAGTCGTGTCATGGTCATACTGCATTTCCCAGTCTCTGAATACAGGCCCAGTATAATAACAGACAAGAAGGGACCACTGCCAAAGTGAAACACTCCGGCTGTGTCTACACTGGGCCACTTATTCCTGAAAATCAGCCACTTTTCCGGAATAAGCTGCGAGCTGTCTACACTGGCCCTTGAATTTCCGGAAAAGCAACGATGCTCTACTGTACAAAATCAGCTGCTATTCCAGAAAAACTATTCTGCTCCCACTCGGGCATAAGTCCTTATTCCGGAAAAGGGCCAGTGTAGACAGCCCAGTAGTCTTTTCTGGAAAAAAGCCCCGATCGCGAAAATGGCGATCGGGGCTCTTTTCCGAAAAAGCGCGTCTACATTGGCCACAGACGCTTTTCCAGAAAAAGGGCTTTTCCGGAAAAGCAGCCTGCCAATGTAGACGCTCCTTTTCCGGAAAAACTGAAAACGGAATAGTATTCCGTTTTAAACATTTCCGGAAATTCATGCCAGTGTAGACACAGCCTCCATGTCTCGGGAAGGCATTGTTGTTCTTAGAATAGTTTCTCCCTCTGCCATTTCCTAAGATATTAGATTTTCTAAACATATGTTTCCTATTTTAGGCCCTGACCATCAATGAGCTCAAAGGAGCAGTTTTCCATTTGAATTTTTCCACGTAAGTACTCACACTGTTCACTAACCACTAAAAACAATCCAAGAGCTGAGGGAAGAAAAATGATGTCCAATCTGACACACTTCAGCACAGGGACACATACAAGCATATTATTTATAAGGTATTTGGCATACACAGCCAGGAATCTGACATACTACACAGCTACCCACTGGAGCATAAACAGCATGCTATACTGTGTGATCCTTTGAAAGACAAACTGCAGAGTCAGAAACGTACACAGAGAACCAATGAGTAACAGGAAGAACCGCACACAAGTATATTTTGTAATAAATATTACACATTAGAGGGAGCTGTATTCGTCATTCTAATATATAATGATATTCTTCCAAAATCTCTAACCTCACAATTTTTAAAATGTTCTTTTAACACAAAGTGTCATGAACAAATGGTATGTAATGCTCTAACTAGGTGGGTAGCATTTGATTCCTTGTGTGTTATATTTTTACCCTGCTGAAGTATGTTTGTACAATGTCTCCAGTTAGTTCTCGCTTCCCTCACCCAAGGGAAGGTGACTCAGTAAAAGTCACTAGAATTCACTATTGTAAATCAGCAGGTACAGTAATAAAAGAGTTACTGTAATTATTAGGTTAGGCTTTGGTCCTTGCTGTTCCTCATGCAGATAACCTGCACCGTCCTGTACACCAAAGGAGTGATGCAAGACAGAGGCATGTTTGGGAAACAGAGAACACGGGTATCTCTGAAATCACTTATCGGGACTTACAAGGAATTTTCAGACCAGAAAAATACATAAGAGCATTTTACCTGGCATTTTTAAGCAGTACAGAAAGCACATAGCGAGAGAAAAACAAGATTATACTGTGCATTTATGGAACTCAGGGCATGGACAGGGCCCATATGGGACATCACAGAGATTCATGCACAATGGGCCCTCAGGAAGTTTGTAGTGTGCTGTTAGTAGAACACACGTATTACAGTCAAAGTACTTAATGGCTCATCTGGGAATTCACACAGTCACATCATCAGAACTTAGAAGGGCACATTATAGGAACTCAATGGGCAGACACATAATACACCTGACAGAAGTTTTATAAGGGTGGTCATAAGCGCTTGATAAAACAGCAACTGCTACTGTAGAATTACAGAGTATACAGTGACATACAATAGGCACATTAAAGCCCAGTATAAAGTCCCAACTTATATATTTAGAAGAACCAGATTTATTTGTCAAGAGTCTTCCGGGCATTTGAATGTGGACTACATTTCCTTATTCAGGGAGCATCCAGGTGGGTGGCTGAAGGCTGGCAGCTGTTCTGAGCAGCAAATGCATCACTTCCACAACACGCCTTATCTACTGTAGCTCACCAAGCAGAAGGCTCCCTCACCATTGCTTCCAAGAAACTGCAAAATAAATAGAAGATGGCACTCTGTGATTGAAGCATTGTAGGACTTCATGACAGGCATTATCATAGAGCTAGGTGTGGCAGAAGGTTAATGCACTCAATTTTCACTAATTAGTAGCTAATGTGGATAACACAAATTAAGAGATCTAGCAAGTGTTGTATTCTCCAAATAGCCTCCAGGGAGTAGTCTTTGGCCAGGAGAGATTCATTCAAGACAGAGCCATTTGAGGCTACGAGAATAACTTGAAGTGACAACCTTTCAGGTCAGGACCTAGTTGCATTAGCAAAGCCATGGGAAAGGAACAGGGGGAGAGACTTGCACGGTGCCCTCCTTTGCCATTTCAGGTTATCAGCAATACTTTCTTACTTATCACCACTAAACTGATCATAGTGACCTTTAAAATGAAAAAGATCATGTTTTATTTGAACAGTTCCAAACACTAGTGTCTGTTTGTTGCAGGGTCCCTGGAGAGGTGTACTTGCAGCAGCAAGGCATCGACTACAGTGCCTGGGGCTTTTGGGAGAACGAGGTTGCTCTCTTGTGCTTGTCACTTGTGTTCCTGTTCTTTGCCTACATCCAGCTGTTAAGAGTGAATCGCTGGAAGTAAACTGGGCAATTTCCAGTTATCATCCATCAGGTTAGCAGCCATGCAGAGTTCACCTTGGCCCCTCCTATCGGTATGTTCTTGATTTCAGATGCCTCCTGATTTGTGCGGTTTTTCTCTTCAATCACCAGAAGCCTGAAAATGTAAAAGTAATTTGACCAAGACTGACAGAGTGTAGTGTCAACATATGTGTAAAACATTCATTAAATATACGTGTTTTACTTTTTAAATGCAGAAAATGGTCAGATACTCTCATAACTATCCATGGCTCATAATAATCAGCTGACCTCACACACACAGTGTGGAGAATGGAACACAAGAGTTCTTGCTAAAACATAGGACCCCTTGAAGGAGAATTGTCTTTAGCTAGCAATAATTATTCTTTCCTTTCCATTCTTCCTACACAAATTCTTGGCTATGCTTTAGTCAGTATTTGCTAGGTCTACCCCAACTTCTACTTTTCTGGCCATCCCACATCTTACCTTATCACTATCTATTCAAAATATCCCAATCACCCTTATATCAATTTACCACTTCGAAATTCTGTGCTGGCTATGACTCTGGTAGATCAGGCATCTGCACAGTCCCCAAGTTTCAATTTACTACTGGCAAATATGTATTTAAAATCAGTGTATTTCACCCATTAAAGTATTTGTATTGTTGAAATAGATATTAGAATTGCAACAATGTGTTTAGACTTTATATAGAATGCTTTTGAGTTGCTGCATGTATTACTTTTACTTAAAACATCTGAATCCAATATTGTAAGGTAATATTTGAGCACTTGCACTATAAACCTCTGTAACTGTAAATCATGAGATAGGAGAGAAATATTAAGAAGTGTGAAATGCTAGTCTCCTACCAAAGGTGTTATATCCTGCCCAAGAAGGAAGGTCCATTAACACCAGACAGATTAAACAGCAAATAACTCTGATGTTCACTCTGCTTTCAACCAGGAAGATGAGTCCTGCAAGTGAATTCCTCCAGTAAACTAAATTTGCAGCTCGAAGCAGAAGGAGAAATGAGAATAAAAACCCATAACAAGGATTAACTGTATTTCATTGTTCCTTGGACAGTAGGGGCAAGGTTTCTAGGCATAAACAAGGGATCACCAGCTGCTAAACATGGGTTAGTCCTAAAGGACAAATAGAGCTTCTTTATTACAAAAGTGTCTATTACTTTTTGAAATGCAAGATTGGAACCCATTTCTCTGTATATATGTTTACCTGTTTTAACCTTGTAAATAACACTTTGATTTCATTTTCCTATATAATAAATCAGTGTATAATTTATTTTAGGATTGGCTACAAGCATTGTCTTTGGTGTGAGATGTAAGGTGCACATGACCTGGGATAAGTGACTGCTCCTTTGGGATTGCTGATTCTTGGTAAAAGGGACCATTTATCACAAAGACAAGCTTGCTTAGGTGACAAGATAGGTCAGAATAGGTCTGTGACTGTTACAGCGCCTGAGAAGTTTACACTTGATAACTGATTGGTGAAATCTAAGTATGTAATTCATAGTTAGTTTGGGGCTTGTGCGCTAGTTCTTAACAATCTGTCCTGAGGTTGGTACTCACACTCCTGGCTCACCACGGGACAGTCCAACATTGGCTTCCTCTCACTTTCCACAATAAGTTCAAGATTTATGTCTTCATGTTCAATATTATACCTCTGCCTACATCTCAGCTCTCACTTTTCTACTCCATTGTGTTCTGCTTCCTGCAAAAAAAAAGTACCTTTTGCCTAAGCTGCTCAAAAATACCCCTCTTTATCCTTCACTAGTCCTTCATCTTGATTCCTCTTTTCATTTACAAATGAAAATGCCCCCTTCATTTACAATTCTGTCTCTTTATTCAAATCCTTCTTCAAAACACACCTTTTCCCCTTAAGCTTGCCAAAGGTGACCCATAAGAGAGAGACAAGTGCAACCCAGTATAAACATTAAGGAAAACTTCTTAAGCTCTATAAAGCTGTGAAACAGTCAGAAATATTTAACAATTATCTGGATGCAACTCTAAAAATGTACTGTAGGGATGATCCTGAACTGACATGGTCCAATAGGACTGTCCTCTCCCCCCCCCCCCCCATTTATTGTTATTTAAGAACAAGTCAGACATTTCTGGCACCAACGACCTTTGAAGAGACCCCTGGCAAGTGAGGAAAGCGAAGAAGAAATGGGAGGGGAAATGAGCAAAGAGAACAAGATGAATGAATGGAAAGGAAATAAAAGAGGAATGAGAGAAAAAGTCAGGAAAAAAAGGTGATGCTGGATTTTTGCCATGCCACATAAGAGTATCAAAAAAGGAAGGGCCGATGAAGGCAAAAACAAAAACAGCAGAAAAAGATTTCCTGGCCTAAAATTTGGCTTTTATTTATTTAGAGAACCCCATAATACCACCACTTTTTGCCTGTGAGTACGGCAGAGGTTGGAAATTCTTCAGAGAACATGTTCAGACAAAATATGGATTAGTCCTCACAACACCTTCAGAAAATTCAGTTTCCATTTTACAGAAAGAAAAATATAGGCACAGAGGTTAACTTATCTAAAACCATAGGACAAATCAGTGTCAAAACCAGGAGTAAAACTCAGATACTTCTGGTTCCCAATGTTGCTCAGATTGCTAGATTACACCTCTAACAATACAAAGAGTGAGCAAAGAAGAGCAGAGGAAGAACAGGCATCTAAAGGGAACAGGTTCTAAAGAGAACTGCAGATGATAGAGTTGAAGGGGAAACGAGATATTCTTCACCAGTCAAAAAGGCTGAAATACTATGCAGACTGTTGATTCCCAAACCTTCAAAATTCTCAAGAAAAAAAACAAACTGTTTCTGTTGCTGTATAAAAATCTTATTATTGCAAGTAGTTGAATATAACACAATGTAACTCACTAATCCTACAGCCACATAAAAACTGAACTTCTCTGCACTTGCCTAAGAGTTAATGAAAAATAGACTAGGGAAAAGATTGTTTTTGTCAATATCTCAAATCTAGTACAGTTCCTCTTTAAAATTATAATTGAAATCAGTTTTAAATAAGGTATTTTTAAAAAAATCACAACATTTATTGTTTATTAGAACAATACAATTTGAAAATGAAATATCTGCACATAACAGAACTCCAAAAATCAATAGGCAATCTAGTTACTTTACTTGGTGAAGAAAATACAGTATTTACAAGATTTAAATTAGCCAAACATCCAATAGCTCACATACAAAATCTGTACAGTAATAAATTGTGTTAAAAAGTTTGTCAAAGCATTACCTGACAGACCCAATACTATCATATACATAAATTATTTAAAAGGCACATAAGATTCATCTATGAAAGTGTGCTGCATTACAGGCAGTTACATTATGTCATTAAATAAGACACTAGGGTTGCCAGCCTTCCAGGATTATCCTGAAGTCTCCAGGAATAAAAGATTAATCTTTAGTTAAAGATTATGTCACGTGATGAAACCTCTAGGAATTCTCCCAACCAAAGTTGTCAATCCTAGTCAGGACAGCATGAAAAAGTTATTAAAACATGTACAGTACAAGCTTTCAGGGGAGTAGCTGTGTTAGTCTATAACTTTAAAAACGTGTAGTCCTGTGGCACTCTAGAGACTAACAAAAATATATAGGATTATGAGTTTTTGTGGGTAAGACCCACTTCATCAGATGAGTTGAAGTGGAAATAACAGAATCCAAGATATATACAACTACAAAAGAAGCACCTGTCAATTGTATGACCTGTGTTGATGAAGCTAATTAAGTGGGCTGGATGTGTCCCATTCATAATTTTTTATGTGAAAATGTGGGTGTCAATGGTAGGGGAAAATGGCCTTGTGTTATCCAGCACTTTAATATCCAGAAAACTCTTAACTGACATCTGCCATAGATGGCAATACAATGCCCCCTTCTGTTAAGCAGAAAAATTCCAACAGTCATCCGGCATCATTTTCCAGGACTTGTGGAAGTCTCAATTGTAAACTTGTGGCAGTAAAGGCTGTTCTTATCCTGCCTCTGAGTACAGTACTGTATAAAAGAGAGCCATCACCAGATATTATCTGAGCCATTCTGCAGCTATAGCTGGCAATACACCAGCAACAGGCAAAGGACAGAAAAGAAAACATTTGTACTGACTATAGCCCAGAAATTGAGCCTAATTAGGTGCCTTGAAAAAGGGGAAAACAGGAGCCACTTGATGCAAGAGTTTGGCGTTGGCTTGTCGACAATCTATGAGATGAAGGTGCAGAAGGCAGACCTGATGAAATTCATGTCAAGTGCTGAGACAAGCAAAGCAATTAAGAAATGCCGTATTTTGCATAAACCAAAATTGGAGCAATTAAGACAACGCACTTGATGAATGGTTCTCCTTTAAATGTTCTGAGGGTGATCGAATTTCTGGCCCAATGTTGATCGAAAAGGCCAAAGACTTATCAGTTGATGGAAATGACCTAGACCTGTGTTTTTCTGATGGTTGGCTGGGATGCTTTAAGATGTGGCATGGTATTAGAAGGCTTAATGTCTCTGGAGAGAAACAGTGTGTTGATCATGAGGTCACAGAAAGATACTGTGTGTGTTTTTAAGAAGCTGACTGGGAAGCATGGCGTAATCCCAGAGAACATCTACAATGCTGATGAAACAGGACACTTTTAGCATTGCCTGCTCTCTTCAACCCTTGCTGGTGCAAGTGAGGTTGGTGGATTCAAGAGGAACAAGGGCCATATCACTCTGCTTATGTGAGCAAATTCTGCTGGCACAACCAAAATCAAGTTGCTTGTGGTTTCAAAATTCAAGTGGCCAAGAGCATTCAAGGGTATTGTCCATCTGCCAGTGGAGTACAAAGACATATCTGTGTGTTTGTCCCACTATACCTTCCTGCTGTGAAAGACCACCTAAAAACTTGACGTGCCAGAAGACACAAAGATTATTCTGGTTTTAGATAACTGTTGAGCTCACCCTTCTGAAGCAGAGCTTGTATCTGACAATATTTTCACAGTCTTCCTGCCTGCAAATGTCACCTCACTTATGCGGCCAATGGATCTGGGAATTTTCAGAACCTGAAAGTCATCTACAGGAGGGATTTTATGAGGAAGCTGCTAAACTTTAAAGGAACAATCCAAGAATTTCAGTCATGGTACAGCTCAAGGATGCTATCTTCAGTGTGGCATGTGCCTGGTCTGCTGTCAACCCAACAACTTTAAAGAAGCATGGAGAAAATTGTGGGCCAAGTAGTATTTGTGGAAGGGTCCTCTAATGAAGAATTTCAGGGCTTCAAAAAGTAAATCACTACTGCAGATACTTCAAAATAGCAACCCCACAAACCCAATCAGTAAACTGAAGGATAATGAAGTTACAGAGTGGGTAAATGCCGATCAAAATCTAGATGTTACAAAAACCCTGACAGACTCTGAAATTATAGAAATGGTTGTCCATATGGAAAGAAGTGCAGAAGAAATAGATTCAGAATCTCTTGGCCTACTGCTGCATAGTGTCTGGAAACTTTGGTGAAGTTCACTGAGCATCAGTCGTCTTATTCTTCTCAGAAAGTCATGCAGCTGCACATTATTCACAATTTCCTCAAGAAAAGGTAACTGACTTGCTGGCAGGCAGACATCTGCAAGTTGCTTCAAAAGCTTCTGCAGCTTATGCCACTGGACCAGCATCATCAACATCGACAGTAGAAGTTGCTGATATTGATTACCCTGGGGCACTATAGGAACAGTAAATTACAGTGTTGTATACAGTAATAGTGTTAAAAGTTGTAGGCTGCGTCTAGACTGGCAAGTTTTTCCGCTAAAGCATCTGCTTTTGCGGAAAAATTTTCCAGATGTCTACACTGGCTGCTTGAATTTCCGCAAAAACACTGACGATCTCATGTAAGATTGTCAGTGTTTTTGCGGAAATGCTATGCTGCTCCCGTTCGGGCAAAAGCCCTCTTGCGCAAATACTTTTGCACAAGAGGGCCAGTGTAGACAACGCGGTATTGTTTTGCACAAAAAAGCCCCAATCGCGAAAATGGCAATCGGGGCTTTCTTGCGCAAAACCGCATCTAGATTGGCACGGACGCTTTTCCGCAAAAAGTGCTTTTGGGGAAAAGCGTCCGTGCCAATCTAGATGCGGTTTTGCGCAAGAAAGCCCCGATTGCCATTTTCGCGATTGGGGCTTTTTTGTGCAAAACAATAGTATACAGTAATACAGTGCAATGTTAAAAGCTGTAGTGTTAAGTATGGTTATTTCATTTCTTAAACATTTTTGTATTCAGAAAAGCTCAAATAACTGGCACATTTAATTAACCAGCAGTCCCCATTCCCCTTGCATGCCAGATAACAAAGCCTGTGCTATATTTAATATCACAATTTGGCTTATTAGACAAAAACACAGAAGTCTCTCTTCTGATTAGGAATCAATTTGAAAATATAACTATTTAAATATGTTAAACTAAAATACAAAAGCTCTTTCAAAAAAATTAGGTCTCAGTTTTCCCAACATAAAGTATTCCTCGCCACGGGTCTTTCAGTAGTCATACAAAAATGTTTAGTCAACCACCATCTAGGAGGGTAGATCCCTGGGCTTGTGCAATTAAAGAGTCAAACCTGAAGGCCATGTACTGCCTTAGATATATAAATGAGGACAGGACAGGAGATACAGAGCATGAATTAGACGCAAACTGCTGCCTGGGGCAGTAGAGTTGAAAAAAGCACCACAATAAATGTTTAAACTGATCTATGGTGGCAATGCTTTTGCCTCTGCAGAACTCCCATTCCTTTAAAGTATACAGGATTACCTGGTCCACCTTTTAATTCTCATGAGATCTAGCAGTCTGCAGTGCAAGGCCTGAGAGATCCTGTGAAAATTCAAAGCATTCTCAAAACTGATATCCACAGGAAAAGTAGTTAAGAGCACACGGTGGAGAAAGTTAAGGTTTTGTTTTGGAAGTAGAAGGGTGTGGGGGTTTTTAAATAAGAAAGGCTAATTAGCATCAAGACCTTTAAGATCTGCAGAAATACATACAAGAAACATCACAAAATTTGTTTTTATTTTTTTTTAAACAGCACTTGAGGTCTTGCATGGCCACTATATTACTCAGGATAACACATGCAGCAACCTGCGCCTTCAATTCCAGTTTCTGATTTCTGCTGCGCTCCTTCAAGAAGACTCTCATCAAGTTTGTGTTCAGCAATGATATCCTCTACACGAGTTATGTAAAGTAAAGATAACAACACTCCAAGGAACTGAAAAATAAAACAGCAAACATAAATAGGAGACAACGTACTGCTTATCCAACCTCCCACTCTAAATCTATATATATAAAAAAATGTTCCTGCAGGACTACTGAATGATGTCATCACATCAGCATCCTCACGCCGCTGCCACTGCCTGCCTCCGTTCTCAGCTGCTTGCTGTGGCCAGCCTCAGTGCTGTCCCCTCCGGGCATGGTCAGCTTCAACTCCAGCTCCTGCTTCATACTCTGGGGCTGTGCCACTGGGGAGGAGCTGCTGGGGCTGGGTCCTTTCTGCCATCTGAGCCTGACATCCCACCCCACCCAGGCCACACAGAGTCCTCTCCGCCATCTGAGCCCAATCCTCCCAGCCCGCTCCCCTCTTCTGCCAAGACTCCGCACCCCCGGCCTGCTTCTGCCCTCTCCCCCCGGCCAGACACTTACCCCCAGACAGAAAGAGGTTGGCAAGCATAATGAGCAGGGGGCGCAGACCCCTAGTATTGATATATGAAAATTGGGGGCTCAATACAGCACAATCTTGGAGAAGAGAAAATCCACATTTGGGGGAATGAAGGGACTGTATTTATGATCAGCTATTTAAAAAAAAAAAAGATACTGATGCCTGTAGTATGGAATGTTAGAATAAGTCCTGGAGGAGACAGATTAGTGGGCAGAATTCAGGTGAAGTAGATAAGGGTCATGAAAAATTGCTCACTATGATATTGCTGTCACAAAGTTCCAGCCACATAAGTTTATTTCATTAACTATAAAATCAAATGCCATTTTGTCTACCAAGGCAATGAACCAAACATTCCTCTTAATGGACAATGTAATGACGTAGACTTACCTGAGGAATCAATATGCCAAGCAGGACACCAGCCATGATGCTGTAGTTGTCTAAGAACCAAATGAGGACTGCATGTGTGCATCCTCGGGAATATATAATGTGTTGAACACTCAAACGCTGTAAAATAATGAAATATATCTTCTAAAAACACTTATTTAATATTAACCCTATCAAAACTTAGAAAGAAGAAACATGAAATGCTTTACAATTAAGATATTTTATTTACCTCTTTGTCAATAGTTTTATATCCACACATAGTGTTCATAATATCTGTCTGAAAAGAAAAAATAAATGTCAAAAATTTTAAAAAAGAATTTCAAAATGAAATGTTTTTATTTTTCACTTATATTTATGTAAAGGCAACTTCAAAGCATATAGGAAAGCCATAGATGGGCCTACACAGCCTCTTTTCCTGACAGGCCCTCCTTGTTCAGCTACAATCATGTCCTGTGCATGGATGGCTAGGCCATTGCACACTAAGGTGAGCTGCTAAGTGTGCTTGCCAAGCTGGGCAATCAGGAAAAGGTATTCAAAAATACAAAGGTATTTTAAAAGGATGGTTGCTTCTGGTGTCTGTGACCCATGGCCAGTGAAATTTATGGTGACCAAAGAAATCATTGTCACAGGGAACAAATCATTGTAAAACAACTGCTGGAGGACAATTAGGATAGATACAAGTTACAAAATGTCTACACTCGCACTGTGTCAACACCAGTATGTTTACCATGGCTTTAGGCCATTTGGAGAGAGAGTTTTCCTATGTCAGTGTAAGGGGCACATACTTAAACCAGAGACACCAAGAAGGCTGAGGTATTTAGCATCTGTTTTGTTTCAGTCTTCATTAAAAAGGTAAATTGTGACCTGATGCTTAGGACAAATATTATTAATGACAAGTGAGAAACAAGTTAAAGACTATTTAGAATGAGTTAGATGTATTCAAAGGTACAGAAGGAGCTAGCTGAAGCAATCTTGGAACCATCTTTGAGAGCTCATGGAGGATGGCTGCCCTGGCCCTGCCTCTTCCAATGAGTCCCTCCCTACTATGGGAGCACAGAACCAGGCCCTCCGCCCCCACATTGCCTGGGGCCTGGCATGTCTGTTGGCACCCGGTAAAAAAGACAACACGGTAGCCTTGTATCCATGCTGGAGAAAAATGGTTACTTACCTTCGCAACTGTTGTTCTTTGAGATGTATTGCTCATGTCCATTCCATGTAGGTGTGTATGCTGCGTGCATGTGTCATCAGAAGTTTTTCCTCTAGCAGTACCTGTTGGGCCAGCAGGGGAGCCCCCTGGAATGGCACCACTATATTGGCTAATATATACCCCTGCTGGCCCTCCACCTCCTCACTTCCTTCTTACCAGACTACTCCGAAGAAGGGAAGGTGGGCGAGATTTGGAATGGACTTGAGCAACACATCTCGAAGAACAACACTTACAAAGAAGTAACCATTTTTGATTTTTCAAGTGATTGCTCATGTCCATTCCATGTAGGTGACTTCAAAGCAGAAACCCCAGGACGCAGGGTCAGAGTTCTAACTTTCCACTGAGCAGAGGACAGTCCTACCAAGGGCTGCATCCTCCCTAGCCTAGTGAGCCAGAGCATAGTGGTTAGCAAAGGTATGGACCAAAGACCACGTGGCAGTCCTACAGATGTCCAGAATAGGGACCTGAACCACCAAAGCAGTAGAGGAGGCCTGTGCCCTAGTGGGGCATGAGAGGTGGGGCCAGAACCCCAGCCAGACCATAACACTCCTTGATGCAGGAGGTTATCCATGAAGAAATCCTATAAGCAGAGACTGGCTGGCCCTTGAGCCTCTTTGCGATTACCACAAACAACTGTGGAGACTTACGAAACAGCTTCATCCTGTCTAAATAAAAAGCCAGTGCTCTCCTGACATCTAGCGTGTGTAGAACGTGCGCTTGGGGTAAAACATTGGGGAAAAAAATTCTTAAGAGACATAAAAGTGGGACACCACCTTCAGTGAGAAGGTGGGGAGATGGCGTTGCCTAACCTTGTCCTTGAAGAAGACTGTGTAAGGGGTGAGTGTGAGAGGTAAGGGCTCTTAACTCTGACACACGTCTGGCTGACGTGATAGCCACTAAGAACGACACCTTCCAGGAAAGGTACAGCAACCAACAGGTCACCAGAGGCTCGAAGTAGGGGCCTGTGAGTCTGGTCAGGACCATGTTAAGGTCCCACTGACAAATGGGCTGTTGGACATGTGGGTAAAGCCTGTGTCACATTACTGGATTTTAATGTGAATAGGCAGGACATTGTTGCACCCACTACTGTGTGTTTGCCCCAAATTCTGTACGAAGTGGGCCATGTGAGGTGTCAAATGAAAGCTCATGTTATGCTGATTCTATGTATGCTACTCATAAACTTGTATGATTTTTATATGTAAAGTTATAAATATGGGCTCTGTGCTTGTATTTAAATGTTCTCTGACTGGGAGGGAGCAATGGGCTTCGACCACCTATTGTGAGGATGATTATCCAATGAATGGCTGTGCTAATTAGTGATGCTGCATAAACAAAGGTTCTCAAGGTTGCCAATAAACACCTGAGGAAAGCGTCTTGAGGACCTGCAGATCAGTCAGTGCTCCTCTGCTGGCCCAACTGCTAGGGGAAAAACTTCCGATGACGCATGCACGCAGCACGCACACCTACATGGAATGGACACGAGCAATCACTTGAAGAAGAACTGTAAGTACCTGGGCATGTGGAGAAACATTTATGCAGCATGTACAGATACTAATGCCAGATTCCCTCATTTAAAAATGAATTTGGTCAGGAACAGGAAATCATGGAACTGCACAAAGAACAACTTTGAGGAATTACACAAGTACCTTATTTTTCTGTCTTGTATACAGATTTCACTTTCAAAAAGTGAAAAATGTGTGAAAGGTATTTCTAATATTTATAATTGTTTCTTTATCAAACTCACCCTTCAAAATAACAGCACTGGTTACAAATTGATTATGATGTGTATGATAGATATTGAAACTGTTCCAGCGGTTCTCAAACTTCATTGCACCACAAACCCCTTCTGACAAAAAAAATTACTACACGACTCCAAGAGGGGGTTGAAAACCTGAGCCCCGCCACCCTGGGTGTGGGGAGGGACAAAGCACAAATGTTTCAACTCCAAGCAGGGGGCCTGTAACCTGAGCCCCACTGCCCAAGGCTGAAGCCATGGGAATCCAGTAACCAAAGCAGGGGAAGGCTTTGCCTTCCCAAATCACCAGGCTTGGGCCCGCTCTCAGAACACCTACCATAGGCGTTCTGGAGGCAGAGTGTTGCTGCCCCCAGCACCCATGCTCCTGGTGCTCCAAGGCTGGACCATGCAGCGTGCCCTCCTGCCTCCCCTGGTGCTCCGGGACAAGAAGGTCTGGTTTGCATAGCGTGCCCTCCTCCCAGGCTAGGGAGGCTGGGGCCATGCTGCACACCCTCCTCCCTCCCCAGTGCCCTGGGGTTGGGGAGGCTGGGGCGAGCACGCACCTGCCTGCTTCCCTCCCCTCCCTGTGGTTGGGGGCAGGGAAGTGGCAGGGCCTCATCAGAAGGGGCGGGGCTGGAGGTGGGACTAGGGATGTTAAATATCGGTTATTGAATAGTCGAGTAATCTTGTGAATTTTTATTGGTTAGTTGACTATTCTATAGTCCCCAGAGGTGGAGCTAGCAGCCAGTGCACTCCATCCGCTGTCCCAAGGAGTCCCTTGCCACTCCACGTGGGGTGCCAGGCAGGAGCTGGTCCACAAGGAGAACTAGTTCAAAAACCAGTTTCCCTCATGGACCAGCTGCCTGTCGCCCTGTGCTGCTGCCTCTTATACAGAGGCAGCAATGCAGGATGGCAGCAGCCCCTGACCAGTGGAGAGGGGAGGGAAATGCATGTAGTCTATAGCATTAACCTGTAAGCTTTGCTTATCCGATAATCGGTTAATCGAGTACACTATTAATGGGGAGCAGGTTTAAAACTAATAAAAGAAAGTTCTTCTTCACACAGCCTGTAGTCAACCTGTGGAACTCCTTGCCAGAGGAGGCTGTGAAGGCTAGGACTATAATAGAGTTTAAAGAGAAGCTAGATAATTTCATGGAGGTTAGATCCATAAAAGGCTATTAGCCAGAGGATAAAATGGTGTCCTTGGCCTCTGTTTGTCAGAGGCTGGAGAGGGATGGCAGGAGACAAATCACTTGATCATTGTCTTCAGTCCACCATCTCTGGGGCACCTGGTGCTGGCCACTGTCGGTAGACAGGATGCTGAGCTAGAAGGACCTTTGGTCTGACCCAGTACGGCCATTCTTATGTTCTATTACATCCCTAGATGGGGCTGGGGGCTCCCAAAAAAATGGCTGAAACGCTCTGGCTTTGGCTTCATTCTGGAGTGGTGGGGCTTGGTCTTGGGCCTCAGCAAGTCTAATATCAGTCCTGGCAACCTTATTAAAATGGGATTGTGATGCACTTTGGGGGTCTCGATTCACAGTTTGACATCCCCTGCTCTAACCAATGCTCTAACCCTGCTCAGTATTTTTGGAAGGGTTCAGATTAAAAACAGAAAAGTTAGTGTGACGGAGTCTCCCCTCCCCCCATGCTTTATGAAATGGACTCATGGACACGAATATACAGGCAGTCCCCGGATTACGTACAAGATAGGGACTGTAGGTTTGTTCTTAAGTTGAATCTGTATGTAAGTCGGAACTGGCGTCCAGATTCAGACACTGCTGAAACTGACCGCCAGTTCTGACTTACATACAGAATCAACTTAAGAACCCCAGGCGTCCCCAAGTCAGCTG